TATTACCTTAGCACCAGGTCCGGATCTACGAAGTTTAGATTCTTCCAGGTGGGTGTTGTTTGGATCTGGCTGCTGTGCTCCACTTCTTTCTGCTGCAGCCGTTAGAGTTGAACCTTTTGTGTCTCTCTGGCAAGATGTTCTGCTCCTGAATCAGCTGGGTGGGTCTTGCCACTAGCCTCTTTGCAAGGAGTTCTGCTAAAGGGTTCGGCGATGGGCCTGCACTCTCGGTCAAATGAGGATCCGAAGGCCCCAGGCGGTCTCACTCACACACTGGGGCTGGGCTCTGGGTTGTCTCACTTACCGGGCCTGCACTCCTGGTCTATTCAGGATCCTGCGGGCCCTGGGTCATCTCCCTCACTCTCAGGGCCTGCACTTTGGATCCTGCTGTGTGCAGTCTTAAGGTCATCTTCGATCCCTTCCTCTTCAGCCCCCTTCACTGCCAAGCCCTACCCATCTGCTGCTGTTCTCCTAACTGACACAACTCTTTCTTCTCATTTCCTAAGGCTATATTCAGTTCTGCAGAAGCATCTCCCCAGATCTACCCTTGTCACTTTCTTGTCTCCCCGGCTTGCTCGCGCTTGCGCGCTTTCTCGCTCTCTCGCTCTCTCTCGCGCTCTCTCTCTCTCTCTCTCTCTCTCTCTCTCTCTCTCTCTCTCTCTCTCTCTCTCTCTCTCAGAACCAGGGTTTGAACTCAGACCCTTGCACTTGCCAGGCAAGTGCTTATTCTACTGAGCCATCTCCCCGCTGTCCCCACCCCATTAACAACATATTCAGCACACAGCTCTAGGAATCCTCTTACAAAATTGCTGCTTAATTGTGCTACTTTACTGCCACCACTAAAAACCTTAAGTAACTTCTCATTTGCCACACTCCAGTTCCACACTCTAGAGCACAATAAGGGACAACAGGGCAGCACTCTGACACTAGGCCATGTCTGTGCAGGGCTTTTCAGACATCATTTACTGATCTTCCTCTAACTCTTGCCGTGGTAGGTGGTATGAGCCCCAATTTACAGCCAGGAAACAGAACTTGAGAGACTGGCAATTTGTCTAAACGTGGCTACTACTTATCTTGCTGAGCTAGGATGCAGACAAATGCTATTTGGTTAATTGTATATATATGCTTTTAACCACCAAGCTAGTCTTTTCCTAAATGGAGATCAGGCCACACAGTTAGTGGTGAAGATTAACCGACAGCCCTCAGCCAGAGCTTCCCACAGCCGCCTGCTTGCCAGCATTCAACCCACAACCAAAAGTCACTGCCATCGAGAGGACTTTCCTAGTTACTCTAGTCCTCGCTCTTTCACACAGATGAGCTACACACCTACCCTGACAATTCTGCCTTTAATAAAGTATTTGTGAGGCATCCTTAGATTAGTAACCTTTTCTTCTCCTTCTCCTTCTCTGGTTTTAGTTTTGTTTTTTGAGACAGGGTTCCAGGGTGGCCTCAAACTCAAAGCGATTTTCCTGCCTCAGCCTCCCATAATACTGGGATTATAGGCGTGCACCACCATGCCAAGCCAGTAATCTCTTCTAAAAAGAACTGTGCCCCTATAGCTGGCATTACTTGAAATAAATGACTAGAAACCCTGTGAAAAAGATGTTCATTTATTACATTTACTCTGGCGTTTGGTTCTGAAACAATATATGCTTCCTACCTGGGCAGCCTCATATGTGATGGTCTTGGTCTCAGTGTGGACAATGGGGACGTCTTTGGTGGGGATCTCACTTTTCACAGCACTGGCAGTGTCTGAGATGGTGACAGTCTGTGTCTTCACCAGTGGGGGCTGCGAAGCAGAAAAGAAAGAGCATTAGCAGAGTCTTCTGACAGCTAGGGGGAACCAAGCCCTCTGACATTGATCTGATAGAAGCTTGAATCAAACAAAGGGTGTGCTCAATCTCTAAGGTGTTTCCTCTGCCCAAGACCTGGACACTATTCCAAAGTAAGGCTGACAAGGTGTGACATCAGATTGGGGCGGACAGTAAAAAGCAGCATTACTGTAATCACTTTCATAAGCTTAATGGAAAACTATAAGATCAGAGTTATGAGTGGTGATACAAAATACTCCAGACTGACCTTCCAAATTTGAATATAAAACTATTTGCCAAATAGCAATCCCTTTTATTTGTCCTTGTGGCTGTACCATTGTAATTAAGAAAATCAGCCACATTTCCTCTAAGTACAAATGGTACATGAACAGCAAGGCAACTGGAATGCATTACCCTAGAATTCATTAACTTCTTTCAAATCAATGTCAGACACTCACTTTGGAGTTACTAAGAAGAAACAGTATTTGGAAAACTGGAAAGAAAAAAATCAGTTCTACCACCACCTGGTGATTAACCTCAGAATTTCAGAAGCCTGAACATTAGTGGAGTACAAAAGGCCTTCCTGGCCATCTGTTCACCACCCCCAGGCTACAAATCACCCGCACACTGCCCCCCGATTGTGACAGGGCTAGGAGGCCGTCCACCGCAGCATAGAAATTAGTGCCTAGGATCAAGGAAGCCCTGGGAGCGGGGTCAGCGGGAGTAGTGGCTGCCCAAAGTGGCTGCAGTACATATATTTCTGTTTGGGGCCTGAAATCTCAACCAAAGATCAGTTGCCCCTTTTATCAGGAGTACTGGAATGTTTTGGACATGGTCATCATAGAAGTCTCTGAAACGCATTTCTTCCCACAGCTCATATTTGAGCAAGAAAAAGATGAATCTACTTACACCTGCTTCACAAAGATGAAGGGCTGGAGATTTTACTCCCAAGAGTTTTGTAAAGTCATCAGGGAGAAAGCATTTCTACTCATGGAGTTAATTCCTCTCAATGAATTTCTTCATAACAATCAAAGGCTTTATTTTGTGATTTTTGCAAAAAGCAGAGGCCACTACCCTCACCACCACCACTACCACCACCACCTCCTCCTGCACAGAATAGATTCTGGCTTCCTCCCGAAGAGAGCCTTTAGACCTGCATCATCGAATCAGTTACTACCTGGAAACTGCGAATGAAGGTGGGGAACTGGTTACCCACATGAGAGTCAAGAAATGATCCATTTTGTTTTCCAAGTGGCTCTCCTGCTGTAACAGGTTCTTCACCACTGTCTGCCCTCTTTTCACCAAGCTGCAGCTGACAGGAAGCTGGTGATACTGAGAACTTTAAGGTACTGGCCTCCTCCACTCCTGCACACTCCCCACTCGGGACTCTTGGCATTTCCTTAATTTCAATACAGCCAGCTGCCCCCTGCTCCTTCTCTTCTGTCTCTTTGTTGCTTATGGAGAGGAGGCCAAAATCAAAGCTCTGTGGAGACTCCGATGGGATGGTCATCTGCCTGTGACTAGGAACTACTGAGTCCTCAGGGCCCTCCCATTCAGAGTCAAGGTTAGCAGGCCCTTTTGTCATGACAGCCACCTCCTCTGTGCGAATGCCATTTATACTCTACAAATGAATGAACACATACAAAAGCAGGAAGATTAGGAACAAGTGGGGAACCATAAGGAACTCTGAGAATCAATAATAATAATAATAATTTTTTTTTGAGGCAAGTTCTCACTATGTAATTCAGGCTGGCCTTAATCTCTTGGTGATCCTCTAGCCTCTGCCTCCTGAGTGCTGGGACTAAGGCATGTGTCACTATGTTTGGCAGTGGAGACTTTTAAGTCTCAAAAACACTAATATAAAGTAAGAATTTTAGCTTGAAGTTGGTCAAAAGGATGAACTGCTATTCATTACACATATTTTAAGCAGTTCAACTTCATTTTGGTCAAACTTCTGTAACATAATTAACCTGAAAAATAATTTTAATATGCTTCACACAGTATCCAACACTTATGATGTTTCCTGTATAACAGTTTCTTCTTTCTTTCTTTCTTTTTTTTAAAGACAGGGTGTCACCACATAGTCCAGGCAGGCCTCAACCTTGGTGATCCTTCTGACTCAGCTTTCTAAGTGTTGGGATTATAGGTGTGCACCACCATGTATGGTTATTCTCTTCATACTTGAAAGGGTTACTTTGTCTTTCCTAATTCATTATTATTCAGAGCAATTTATGAGCCAATCAAAACATGCCCTTGCAGAGCCTGATGAGGCGGAAAAGCATTTCATGTATCTGTAAACCATGTGTATCTCACACTAGCCCCTAATGGAGAAACTAAAATCTAGACTTTGCTTGGCAGAGAGACAAATGTTGAACACCAACACAGACTTACTCTAATCAGTCATGGTATCAAACATGCTATCCAAACTAGTAAAATGTTTCTTTATAAACAAAATGACTAGCAGCTGTGATGTGTTTCTTCACAGATGAATGACACAACACCTTCAACTTCTGAAAGAGATAAATCCTGGAAACACAGAAAGTTCCCTCCTGGGCTAAATGCCTCCCACCATAAGAGAAAGTTTTAAAGTATGCTGAAAACAACATGTGTAAGAAGATACCACTGTAACAACTGGACTTATTCTTAAAGTGCTAAGAATGGTGTTCCAAGTGGAAGAAAATAAAGAATTTACACCTGTAGAAAAGGAGTATGAACCATTTGAGAAGTGAACAATCTAACTGACGCCAAATTCTATGACAAGTGACCTCTGCACGTGCACTGAAAGCTGTAAAGCAGCTATGCAGCCCACAGGAGCATTTCACCACACGGCATGGCATGCAGGGACTTAATAACAGAAAAAGGACTCTAGAGTGAATGACAAAGCCTGGACCAGCTTACAAATTTTAGTGATCAAATCATGTTAATTATATTTTAGAAAACCACTGCAGCTGCTCACTCTCTAACATAGCCTATGTTGAGATGAACATAAACCAATGTTCTGTTTAGGTAAGAAAAGATCCTTATACTCAGAAACTTTGAGCCAACTTTATTCCTAATATCATGAAATATGCAGATAAGAACACCTCAAACAAGACACATGCATTAAATTCATTTTAGGCAGATTGTTCATCAGCTGATTATGAGTCCTACATGGAACATGAAAGACAGAATTGAAAGACTGACAACAAAGTTATTTCTGTCTGCTGACCAGAGATACATAAAAGTTCTTAACAGTATACGCATTTCCTCCAATTTAGTTTTCTTTCTTTCTTTTTTTTTTTTTTTTTTTTTTTTGGTGCAGGGTCTCACCACAGAGCCCACATCACTAGTGATCCTCCTGATTTCTGCCTCCCAAGTGCTGGGATTACAGGTTCCTCTAATTTAAAATGAAAATAATGCTTGGTTTGATTTGTAGGGTTCTGAGGATCAAATACAATGACATATACAAAGATACTTTGTAAATTACAAGGTACCTTGATTCATTTAATTCAACCCAACCATTAGGGCACCTACCTGACCTGTGATGTGTGAGGGCTTGGGGGACCAAGACAGAGCTTAGTGCACTGTACTACTTTCTAGAGCACTGCTCTTAGCATTGCGCCTGAGCCAGGCAAGCTGTTATAGGGTTGTTCAAAAATAGACCAGCTTGCAAAAATCTGATCTCTACTTCTCTCCAGCTTCATCTTGCTAAACTTCTGTATGCATCCTCTTCCTCAATTCAAAACTGTCTGCACTTTGCAGAACAGAGCATTCTTTTTGTCTCCAAGCTTTTGTAAATATTGTCTCTCTGATTGGAAGTCTGGGGGCTGGGGATTTGGCTCAGCAGTAGAATGCCTGCCTAAAAAAAAAAAAAAAAAAAGAATGCCTGCCTAGAAAGCTGGAAGCCCTGGGTTTGGTCTTCAGTACCAAAAATAAAAAAATACTTCCCCCACCAAACAGTTTTAACAACAGCAACAAAAATATAGTAAAAACAAAAAACCCAAAAACAAAGAAGGTGACTGATTGGAAGTCTGTGCTTTGCAAATGTCAGCTCCCCTGGGAGCTTCCCCCCACCCCTGCCTGGCTTCCTCTTTCACCCCTCTCATTACTGGAACACTCATTGTCTTTTCCATTAGACTACACACTTGGTGAAGGACAGCTTCCTTATTTTTACCATGTCTTACTTAGTCTCACCTTTCTTGTATAGATTTTGACATATAATAGGTGTTCAGTACAAACTATGTCTTATAATAATGAAATGTTCAGTGAGGCATGTTTAGAAAGGACATAAACAGTACCTCACTTGACCAAAACAACTTGTCTAGTCCAGCATTTTCTCTCTTTTATCAGTAAAATAAAAGGGAAACTAATAGCACGGCAAGTTCACTGTGTACCAAGTACAGTGTTAGTCACTTTAATGTGGCTTATTTACAATCTCACATTGAGGTAGACATTATCATATTTTATAGATGAAGAGAAGAGAGGTTAAGTAACTTACAGCTAGGAAGTGATAGAACTGGGGGTTAGATTCAGGTCTGTTTCTGTTTCTAAAGGTCCTCTTCTCCTGGCACCACAGAGTAACTTGAATAGGACCAAAGAATGTATTCATTTATGCTCAAAAGAATACACATCAAATCTGACTCCGATTTTGAGAAGTACACTGACTGTACAACATTCTCTTGGCAGAATCTGTTGTTAGTGGCTGACATTATACTTTTAAATATATGGAGAAGCCTGAAAAGCCAGAAGAAAAAGCTCTAGCCAGAAAAAGATGTAAAGTTTCCATGACACAAGACACCCAGAATTTGGCATAGAGTATCACTGAAGAATTTTAACTGACAATGTTGCCGCCTTTGGCTATAATCATCATCAAGGGCCACTGCGTTACATAAGACTGCACAACTGCACTGACCAAATTAGCCTGCAAACTTTAAGAGGTCGTTGCCAGGAATATGGATTGATATATAGTGTCTGAGCCATCCATGTGACAACAGAGCAAAATCAAGACTTAATGTGATCCAAAGGTATTAATTAAAGTGCTGTTCATCTAGAAAGATGCTGTGTAACAGGCCAGCTGCCCACAAGATCCTACAGAAATACCTAGCTGGCTCCAAGCATATGGGAAGGAGGACTGGCAGATAGAAATTTTCTCGAACAGGAACCCTATTTGAAGGTTCTCAGTCTCATTTAAAAAGCCAATTACTACTGCTACAGATGATAGTCTAGTATTTTCTGTGTTTGGGAGAAGAAAACAAGGGATTTTTAAAAGGCTTTCTCTCAAATCCTCAAACACTGTGTATATATGTGCTTTAATGAGTTATAAATTACCCCTTCCTTGACTTCCTGATTCCATCAAAAGCAGGATATACATATTTTACAGGTATTTAGCTGCCACTCTATTAAATGCAATCCAGGGACTTTGTCTATTTAGGTTACTTTTGAAGTAAGGGATTTACATATTTAAAAAGACTTACCAAAAGAAGTACAGTATACTAACAAAACTGTCTTACTGTATAAGCGATTACAGTGAAAACACATTCTGAAAATCTTCCTAAAATTTGCCACCTCAGCAAGAGCCTTAGCTGTGTTCCGGGGAACCTATGTGGTGATTTTTTTCACACCCATTTAGATACTCTTTCCTCCGTTAAGATGACAAGAGCTGGCAGCCTTGTATTAACTTTCTTTTTTTTTTTTTT